ACTTGCTGCTCCAGCTTGGTTTTAGCTTTGGTCAGCGTATTGACTTTGTCTTCTTCAGCCTGCAGGTCATCCAGTGTCTGCTGATGGGCCTCTTGGAGGGCTTTCTTCTCTTTTGTCAGCTTCACAATGGTCTCATCCAGGGCTGCCATCTCCTCTGTGAGGTTTTTCACCTTTGACAAGTGGAAAGTAAATGTATATAAAAAATGTTGTTTACAATTTCGTACTGTGTATCAAAGCAGAATTCTTTCCAGAGTGACAACTTCTGCCTCATACCTTGTTCTCAGTGGCATGCTTTTCCTTCTCAACCTTGGCCAACGTTAACTCCAGGTCATCTATATCTTTCTTCAGCTCTGAGCATTCATCCTCCAGTTTCCTTTTCTTGGCTGTCAGCTCAGCATTAATTTCCTCCTCATCCTCAGCTCTTTCTGTCACCTCCTTAATTTTGGCTTCCAGCTGGATTTTGGTTTTGATGAGCTGGTCACATCTTTCTTCAGCATCAGCCAAGCTATCTGCTTCCTGAGGGGAAGACACATATTTTCTTCATTTATGTTCTGAAGTTTTCTAAATGTGTTGTAAAAGCCGGGCTGAAATTGTCTATTACTCACACAACGGACTTATTTTGCTGAATGTGTTGGTTTTGTTTGTTTGTTTGTTTTTGGGAAGGGTATACAACCTTTCTCTGGAAACTATTGATTCTGAATTTTTTTTTCTCTCCTAAATGCGTCTGATGGATGGGGTAAGTGTGAGAAATTCTCACTTACACAGTAAACAAAGATGTTACAGACTCTTTCTTCTTCAAAAATGCTGTATTGAATTTTCTTTTGTGATTTAATCCCGTAGAAAGCACTTTTTTGTGGGGAGTAATAGTTTTGGTAATCTAAGGAATAATTTAATCGAAGAAAAGGAGTCTATAAATTTATTAAGAATGCTCCTTCATTAAATGGGTATAACTCATGCACATCTTCTACCTATCATCTTCCCAAAGTTTGCATGGAGTTTCATATGCAGATTTCAACTGAACACCACATCCTCTTAGTCTGGTGAGATTTTTGATATTATAAATTTGCTTTTTTCCAAATACTCTTGAGAGGTAAATATCTGACAAGAGATTTTAATGGGGTATTTATTTTTCTTCAAATACCAGGGAAAATAGATAACACAGTTTTCCTATTTTTCTATTGGAATGTTCAAATAACTGAATAATTAAGTACTGTGTACTGTTTTTAGCTGTTAATTTATCTAATCTAAGCTGATTTTTATAGTGATTCTTGAATGCTAAATATATTTGTGCTTATTTTTAATCAGTGTTTTATTTTGTAAAGTGCTGTGTCTGTACAGGGTTCTTACAGCACTGTTTACAATAAGCTACCATACAGTGCAAATAAAAAAAAAAAAAAAAAAGAAAAAAAAAAGAGATGCAAAAAAATTCAGTGTTCAAAAAAACTTTAAAAATATTTTTTTTCATTATAACTTGACCTTGATTTACACTAGTTAAATCAAAAGCACATAGAGTCTATTATGGAATTAATAGTGGAGGACAGAAAAAGACCCACAGGTGGTATGACTGTTTCTCAGAAACAGGAACTCGGTGTCTGTATCTTCTCAAACTAAGTGGAAATAAGAAGATGTTTTTCCCAATTTCAGAGTGAATGATTAGTTTATAGTAAATAAGAAAATGGTGGATGGCTTCCCCTGAACAGTTTATACTAGTTTAAACACTGGCTTGCATTTACACTCCAGAAGGAATTCACTGTTCTACATCCTGGTGCTATGAAGACAGCCTCTGCAGAATTCAATTGCTCAGAGGGTGTCGAGGGTTTAGGTAGAACTCTGAGTATTGCATGTTTACTAGCTGTAGATATAACTTCTTTACCTCAAAGCAAAAACAGTGACTCCAACTTCATGTTCACTTATTCTTTGTATGGGCATTCAAGAGGGCTTATCATGTGGAAACACCTGTTTCCTAAACAGTGCATACAAATGACTGATAAATCTCCAAATTTCTGACTTGTGGTCTTCTGTAATCTGACCTTCTGTTTGATGAAGAAAAATCTGAACATGCAAACTTATTTTCTCTGT